AAAAACAAAAAATAGAGATAAAGAAGACCAACCAAGTCAACAAACACAAAGTAGCTAGTAGCTAGCTACTTGAGAAACAAGAAAAATTATATAAATATTTTTGCCATTGAAAAGAAAAATTGGCAAAAGGGTATATATATATATATATATAAAGCAAAAATGTTCCATATATACCAAAAGTTGTTTTATTTCTTAATCAAAAACTAAATTTAATCTTAATCTTAAGTATGAAAGTGTGTCAAAATATACTACTTAATTCTTAAAATGAGTCAACTCATCAATAAAAAAAGAGTTATACTTTCAAATTATACTAAAAAATATTCAATGTATAATTCTCTTATTTAAAATAAAAATTATTTTAAATCTCACTTATGACACTAATTAAAACTTATGGTTCTATAAAAACCAAATATATGAAGATAGATGGTTTGAATCTTCCGACTAATATAATTAGTTAATCATTAACATTTTTTTTTTTTGTAAAAAGAATTGAAGATGGATGGTTGCTGTTTATGCCTAACCCGTATTATTATGGTGCATTGGCTAAAACTTAACTCTTAAAACTGCATGAATGTCTTGGAATTTTGAGTGAAAAATGAGTATGGGACACCAAACACCCCTATTATTGTTGTTTCTTGATCACATTCACTTACCAATAAAGATATGTATACTTGTCTTGAACCCTACCTAATTACCTTGTCGCCTTTTCATCCTCACTTAGTACTATCATTACGTATTAATTTGGAAAACATCATTTTCTTTTGTTTCCGGAAACAATAGTACTCTTTGTATCTTGCATGAACTTTAATCTCAGAAGGGAAACCACTCTTCTCTTATTTGATAGTTTGCTGTTCATAGATTATTTGGCTCTACAAAATTAGTGAGAGAAGACACAAATAGACATCAAATATGGATTTTTGTTTTCATTTTTTATATAATTGTTAATTTTTGCATGTAAAGACAATAAAGAATGTACAAATATATTGATGATCGACACTAATTCATATCTTTTAAGTGAAGTTTTAATTTTTGAATTTGACATTGATTTATATCTTTTAAGTAAGATTTTGACTTTCGAGTTCAAATTTTATAGATAAAAAAAATGTGATTAAGAAAAGAACGTTTGGTAAAAATAATCAATTTTTTTTTCACATAATGTAATCTACTAGTTCTTTAATAAAGATTTAATTTTTTTTAGTAACCATATTACTAATATGGGATACCAACTAATTTTGTCGATGACTAATTTTTATTAAAAATATTAACAAATCAAATAATATCTTTTCGTGTACACAAAAATTAAACACAAAATCTTTGAAAAAAGAAATAAGCTTAATCCTCGCCATACAAATAGATATTCAGTCATCTCAATTATTTCCGAAGAGTACAATTAATTATGTTACGGATGAAATCAGAATTTTATTAACAACCCAACATGCATGCAAAATCAGAAAATTTCCATAAATCCAAAACTCACAAGATTGCCCTCTTCTTTGTTATCTTTCAAACACAGATAATAAGTACGAGAATTTGTTGAAAAAATTATTTTATAATTTAAAATTTAAAATAAATATTTAATATAATTAATCTTTTTTTTATAACGTTTCAAAACCAAAAACATTTTCCAACGTTGACCAAGACTCACGGTTTTTCCTTTTCCTATTATTTAGCACAGTATGTGCACTGGTTTCTTGTTCCAAAGTTTTGCAAAAACAAATTTAAAAACGGTTAGCACGTACTATTGACGGGAAAAAAAAAAAAAAGAGGGGCATAATGTGCCTATATATATATATACACGTGAGAAAGGGCATGAAAAAACAGAAAACACACAGCAAGTTCATTTTGATCTCTCTCCCTCAATATTATTTCTACTACAAAATTCTAATTTTGGAGCGGTGTTCTTTGGTTCGGGGATCTTTCGCTGCACTCGAATGGTCTGACGGGTTGACGTATCTTGGGAGAGGAGCGCACTTTAAAGACTCTAAATTACCAGTGCAGTGGGGGCGTTTTCTCTCTAAGGATAGCGCTCTGCGTGCTTCAACCCAGGTTACTCTAAACTTCTTATCTAATAATTTTATTTACTCTTTGTGTTTAACTAGTTGTTATTGATTGCTCTGTTTTTAATTTTATAATATTTATTGTGTTGTTGATATTGATGTTATTGATAAATCTAAATATTTATTTTTATTGTGCTCTATTAAATTAAATTTATTTTCTAACAATCTTAGAGAGAAAAATCTTTTCTTTTTGTTCAATATCAACATGTCTACAATGGACATTTTAAATTCTTTGAGTAGTAAGACAAAAAAATTTACTGGTGAAAATTTTTTATGTTGGCAACAACAGATGAAATTTTGGCTTACAGAGTTGAATTTATTTTCAGTTATTTTAAATGAAAAATCTGAAAATTCTTCTGAATGTGCCTTGGTTGAAGCTGGTTCTTCTAGTGATAAAGATATTTTGTGTCATGGTCGTATTTTGAGTGCTCTCTCTGATAATATTTATAAAATATTTTGTCATACAAAAACTGCTTTGGAGTTATGGGACGCTCTTGAACTAAAGTATGGTTCTGCTGAAAAAGGTTTAAGAAAATACTCTTGTGAAAGAATGATTTATTTTCAAATGGAAGATGGTTGATTGTGTTTTTCTAGGATACTCTTTACATAATACTACTTATAGATTTTTAGTTATTAAATATGAAGTTTCTGAAATTTCTAATAATATAATTATGGAATCTAGAGATGCTGTTTTCTTTGAAAATATTTTTCCTTTGAAGAATAAATTGTCTAAACCTGTATATGATAATTCTAGCTCTGTTTTATTGAATGTTTATAATTTTTCTTTTTTTAAATTCATCTCGTATTGAGATGGTTTCTTCCTCGTTCACTTTGTGTTTGTGTGCTAGCTCTTGGTTTTTCTTACCTTAAGCTGTTGTACTGAAGTGACATTTAATCGGGTGATTTGTTCTTTTATAAAATTGTGTGGGGTGAAAATGGTTTTGTGGTTTATACAGGATGCCAGGGATCCAGAAACTCTTGCCAATCTAGTTGTATGCTGTCTTCACCTTGGCAAACCATCCAATAAATCGTTCAGGTAAACTCTCGGGACATCTTTATTGTTTGTTTCCTCTCTCTCTCTGAATAACCGGTTACATGTTCTGGAAAAACCCTTTTCTGCCCTCCTTGCATATAATATTTTTCACTGTATGTCTACTGAAAATATCCTAGCATGGATGTAATGTTGTACATGGGCTGGCTAAATCTTTGCTTCCTCGAGAGTGTTATTCAATTCTGAATCAACTGTATGTGCTTGTTATGAGTCAGGACCTGCAAGAATATTTGTATATCGAGTTCAAAATTGCCCATGTGCATGCAGCAAACAGCCTTCCCATTCAAGAGCAAGCTAGTGGACTGATACCTCTCCGACAAATCCTGGAAAATCAGATACGCCTCCTGGATCTTCGACCCACCCTAATCCACCAAAAATCACCACTTTTTTCACCATCATTACTATTCCAAATCTCAATCAACATAAATATAAATAGAATACAATACCACAGCCAAATCAAGCCACGCATTGGCGAGCTGCGTGAGAGTGTGATCCTCGTCCATCTGCTGCATGATCCGCAGCTGCCTCTCCGCGTAATCCGACCTATGCATCTTAATGAAGATCTGAACATTCAACGCATGCCTGAAAAATACAAAAAAAATTATAACAAGGAAACGAAATAATAGTAATTAAAATTAAAGTTATAGTTTTTACAGTTCCATGGTTCCACCGGCATTGGTGTATTTGAGGGCTTCGTTGAAATCATTCTCGTGGAGGAAGACGAGGCCGGCGACGAGCCTGAGCGTGGCGTTGTTCCCGATGGCGGGATCGGCGAGCCAGGCCTTTAGGCTGGGGGTGGGGGGTTTCTGGCGAGTGGGGTGTT